ATATCTGTTTTTGAACAGCCAGCATACCTGTCTTGAGTAAAAGAACATGCCTGACTGTGTTTTACCTAGCCAGACAAGAAAAAATTTCCTTCCTTTTAACTATGGCTTATGATTCTCCCACTCTTTCATTTTTATGTTTTGTGCGTTTCATACAGCACAATCATTCTGCTCCTGTTATCCAAAACAAATTAATCTGGCACATGCTTCTAAGACAAGCAAGCATTCCCAGTAAGAGAAACACAATTTTGACCATGAAGGACTGATTCCTATCTTACCAGATACTTTCACTTACATTACAGGGTTATTATCAGGCCTAGTTTCCACACAACTCCCATAGACACCTGTACAAATAACACAGTGAGTGGTAGGTAGAATATGATTCTGGAATGGTGTTTTTATAAATTCAGGAGACGACATAGTAAAAAAGATCCTTCTAACTACCCTCTATCCAGCACTTCTACTAATATCAGTACTTTAGATCAAGATACAATTCCACTTACAGCTCACTAAAAAACCCACTAATAAAGTAACTGATCTAAGACATATGATGAAAGGTGTATGAAGAACTTTTGCTGCAAACATGTAAAACACAGTATGTTAGTCTAACCTCTGGTTTTATAGATGAATTTTTGCAAAGGTATAAAGTTAAAGAAAAAAGAGATTCAGGAGACATAGTCTTACTAAGGCTAGATCACAGAATCATAGAACAGTTCAAGTTGGAAAGGACCTTAAGGATCATCTAGTTCAAAACCCCTGCATAGGCAGTGACACCTTCCACTAGACCAGGTTGCTCCAAGCCCCAACAAACCTGACCTTGAGCACTTCCAGGGAGAGGGCTTCCACAACTTCTCTGAGCAACCTGTGCCTGTGTCTCACCACCCTCACAGGAAAGAATTTCTTCCTAATGTCTAATCTAAACCTATTCCAGTTAAAAAATATTACCCCTCATCCTACCACTACAAGCCCTTGTAAAAAGTCCCTCCCCAGCTTTCCTGTAGCCCCTTCAGGTACTGGAAGGCTGCTATGAGGTCTCCCTGGAGCCTTCTCTTCTCCAGGCTGAACAGCCCCAACCCTCTCAGCCTGTCCTCATATGAGAAGTGCTCCAGCACCATGATGATCGTTGTGGCCCTCCTCTGGATCAGTTCCAACAGCTTCACATCCTTCTTATGTTGAGAACACCAGAACTGGACACAGTACTCCAGGTAAGGTCTCATGAGAGCAGAAAACAGGGGGAGAATCACCTCTGTAGACCTGCTGGTCACACTTTTGGCGCACCCAGGCTACAGTTGGCTTTCTGGGCTGCAAATGCACATTGCTGGCTTATGTTGAGCTTTTCATCAACCAAAACCCTCTAGTCCTATTCTCAATCCATTCTTCACCCAGCCTGTACTTGTGCTTGCCCTGAACCATGTGCAGGACCTTGCACTTGTCAAACTCCATGTAGTGTGCACAGGCCCACCTCTTAAGCCTGTCGAGCCCTCTAGATGCCTCCCTTCCCTCCAGCCTGTTGACTGTATCACACAGCTTGGTGTCATCTGCAGACTTGCTGAGGGTGCACTCAGTCCTACTGTCCACGTCACTGACAAAGAAGTTATGCAGTTCTGGTCCCAGTACCAATGCCTGGGAAACACCACTCATCACTTATCTCCACTTGGACATCAAGCCAACTGCAACTGTTTGAGCATGACCATCCAGCCAATTCATACCCAACATGTTAAGACTATGTCTCTCCAATTTAAACACACAGATGTCATGCAGGACAGTGTCAAATTCTTCACACAAGTTCAGGAAGACAATCTTCCATATATTCACAGCCAGCCAGGTACAGGTACAGGAGGGACACTGTGTCTGCTAACATAATCCCATGACAAGTAAATGGGTAAAATTAGTCCAGTGCAATTTATTGATATTCCTTGTAAAAGACTTAACAGCTTGTGATGGTGCCATGTGAAATCACAAGCTGACAGACTCAAAAGGCAGAGCTTATTGAAACTGAAATCAACTTTATTAACCAAAATCAACATAATAACATTATGCAATTTGGATGTGCTTTTTTTTCCCCCAACAGGTTTCCTATCTGGTTGTTGCAATTCAGTTCTCAAAACATCTGTTGCTGCTGCTGCTTCTTTTAGTGACTGACACTGTAATTTTCTTACATGTTCAAGGCTGTCAGCTCACTACCATACATTCAACATTTCTAATATTCATGCATTGATTAACTGGTTATCTAAAGTGGCCTCGATAATAATTTTTTATAGGACTACTTATGAATATGGAGGAAAGGATGGAAGAACTAACATGGGGGAAACCTGACATTAGCACATAGCAAGTTTATGGGAAGATCTTGATGTCCATACCCACATAGAAAAACACTATTTCAGAAAAAAAAGAAATAAAAATTGGAACAATATTCTTTATTCAAAACCAAGCAAAAATATCACAACCCCCAAAGACAGACTTGTCCATCTCCCATGATCTCCCACAAACAACACTTTTTTTTCCTCACATGCTTCCAGCATCCCCACCATCTGATTAACATACATTATCTCCAACATCTGATTAATCACTGATTGTTCAGAGTTTAAGATTATGGGGTTTTAGTAACTTAAGGCTGTAAAGAAAGGCAGCTACTTTGAAGGTGGTGAAGCTGCTAGACAGGCTAACAAATGGGAGAGAGGGGGTTTCTTATCTCTACCTCTATGTGCCTCCACTGGCAAGAAGTAGACATTATTAATAAAACACATCAGAGCAGCCTGTCTTAGGCAATCAAAATGGGGTCCATACTGTTCCACATGATGCGAAGCAATAATGGGCAACCAAAGAGGAACTGGCACTGGTCCTGTGTCCTGACATCAGCAGCTGTCTCTGATGAGAGCAACAGCCTGAGTCAGCCAGCCAGCACATAAACTGGAGCAGCTCTTGACTCAGAGATAATGCATATGCAAGACTGAGAGTGAATAAATACTTCTCACAACCCAAGTTACTGAACAAGCCAACAAGATGCTTTTTTGCAAGTGGCCCAGTCCACAAGTGTACAAATTATGTTCTTCTAAGGTGATTTTAAATGGAGAATATTATATAATGTTAAAATAACTCTACAGGTATATTTTGGCTTTGTATTTTGCAAGCCCGTCACATGACCGGTCTTCTGGTTTAGCAGTCTCTTGGATTATATGTAATAATTTTTCTTCTCTGCTCTGGAATACTAAAATTCCTAACTGAAGGTAGCACTAAGTCTAGAAGCTGGATAACCTCTGCCATGAATATGCAACCTACCAGTTGCATATGTTACCTAAAATTGGTTTGAAATGTGAAATTTCATAAATGTTTTTGCAACAACGCCTAATCCCTGAGTGGAGGAAGGAAGCTAAGCTGGATCATGATGGAACATCAAATGCCAGTGGGCACTCCAGGAAGAGTATCAAAACCAACTCATCTTATATGATTCTGTTCATGTCAAGTAAACATTGTTTTAGTATTCAGGAGTCTAGAACATGGATTAAGAAAAAAGATTCACAAGTATGATTTGATCTCTAAAACAGATGAAAAACTTCTTTGATATTAAGAAGCATTTTGTTTTGGTTTTATGTTTTAGTAGAGGCAGTTCAGCAAGTTACTCTCACAGAAGACCCTGTGCAGGGACAGTTCCTGCAGGGCATGGCATGGCAGCTTAGTGGAGTGGTGGGGGAAAAGGACTGAACAACTTCAGCCTGCAAGATTTCAGGTAGATTGCTGTTTTTAAGGCTAGTCCCATGTGCATCTGTTCTGTTCTATGTAAAGAATGTCTATGATTTATATTGAGCAAGTCTGAAAACACTGAAGAGGACTGGAAACTGCCCGATATTGATAGAGCAGAAGAGGGAAACTTCTAGGAAGGTGCCTCTACTTAGAGAATGGATGTTGTTTACCTAACAATGCACAAAAGAAAACACTTAGTGACATTTCATTTATTGATACACAACCAAACTGAGAAGCTGAAAGACTCTAGTGAAGGATCCACAATTCCACATTCATATCAAAATTGCTTAGTCAGCCTTTAGAGACTTAAGTTTCTGCCAAGTAACTAATCAACAAGTAGACACAAAGTAACACTTCTAATTTTGCACTGATATTTTATGAGCTTGGTTTCTTATTTTTATTTTATCATCTTATTATTAGCCATGGCAGCAGTGCCTAAAAGATCCAGCAATGGAGCAGGAGTCTATCATGTCAGGGACCGTGCAAAACCAGAATAAAGATGCAGACAATATTACAAAGAGCTAAAAATGTATTAGTTGATATTCATCTCTTGAAGTTTTCATGTTTCATTAAATCATTAAATTCATTGCTCAAACCTTGGTGATTCTGATCTGTAATTTTTATTTAATTTTATGCAATCCACTTTTTATTTAGCTAGGTTTCAAGTATACAATTCTAAAAACATCTAAAAATCTGTCTTGATTATGCAAATCAGATGTTGAACTGTTACTTGACTGCTTTGTCAAGTCAACTTTGTATGCTCAGCATTTTGCTGACAGAAGCAACTTTACTTCAGTCAGAATTTAAGCCAGCTTAAAGCAATCCAACTCCACTGATATTTAGAGAGCCTTGCTACAAATCCAAGGGGGAGGGGAGGGAAGGGAAGCACTCAGAAAATGTGTTTCTGTTTACACCAGATTGTCAGATGAACTTTCCCAATACCTTATTTTCCTGACACTGACAGTCTTGAACTATGGGTGGAGCAGCGTCTCCAAAGCACTGGGATGAATCTTGAAAACAAAGAATTACACAGCTAGTGCTTCAATTATTTGTCATCTTTCATCAGATCACTTGTTATGGGATAGTCAACATCCATTTCCTTCCATCCAGCCTCAAGTTTTAGATACCTTTTCCTTTTCTTATTATTAAAGAGAGATGAGTCATCACTGCAGCAATCCTAACCTGGTTTGTGATATAACATTTCCAGAGTCTTGTGTAATGTAAGCCTTCCTTTCTTATTGACATAATTTTAAACTACCTACCTTCTGCATTAAGATGCATGGTTTCCAAAGGTCCAATAAATGCATATCGCATTCCTAATCCATCAGACATCACAAGGTCTAGATCAGTAGGAGATATTACTCCTTCCTAAGCAGCAAAAGTGAACACAAAGGAAGATTTGTGAATGTTTGGGTTTAATGCAAAATTGCCTGCTTTTGGGATATAATTAAAAAAATATATTAGTAATACCAACTAAAGCTAGAAATAGCAGTTAAGTTGGAAACAGAAACATAACTGCTTGCCAGAAATATCCATCTATTATGCAAGCCTTCCTCTGGTTCAGTATAAATACATCTCTAAGACTGCTGTACTTCATATTCCAAACACACTTTGATACATTTTGACAGAAATTTATTTTTAAATTTATATATTAATCTACTTTTAAATACAATATGTATTATTTGTACACACTAGTTTGCCTGATACTTATTACTTACAATAATTCATGTACTAAACCAAAAATGAGCTGTTTAGGTTAGCCAATATACTTTTTTTCTCAAGAAATGAGAATCAGAGAACACTGAGCAAACATTTCACTTTGATAGCAAAAGAGTTTATATCAAATCCAAGCGCTATACCAGCCCTTTTAAATATAGGAGTTTTGGCTAAATCTCACACCTCCCTTCAAATTATCTTTGTTCTGGATTTTTGGGCAGAGTCACAACTGGCAGAATGGGAATGCAGCAGTGGATACTACTCCTGAGGCCACCTGCAAAAAAGGCTTAGACCAAACACGTAAGCAATGCAGCTGCCACTCCTTCCCACAAAACTCACTGAACGTTCAACCTACCCAGCCTCAACCTGCCCAGGTTTTGGAGTTCATCACCAGCCTCATGTCTCAGAGTTGGCAGGATACAGAGCATGCAAAGTGAAGCATTTTTTTTTCTCCTAAGTCGAGAACTGTTGTTCCACCCACATGGTAGCACTTACAAGAAAGCCACCGCCCCCATCAGGTTAGGACAAGCACAGGAAAGCTTTCAAAAAAACCCAACCACAACCAAAGGCAAGAAAGAAAGAGTTATGGTTCATTAGCAGATTACTTGAGAAGAAAATATTTATTATATGAGGTTATTTTCCACCTACTAGAAAGACAGGAATGAAGACCTGTTCTAACCAATTCTATCAGATAAAGCTTGGTTTCAAGAACTTGTCCTCCTTATTACCAGAGACATGCAAACATTTCCTTAACATTAAGAAGGTGGAAGAGACACTGAATTGTTTCTAATCTGCCTTCTCACCCTATTCTGAGGTGCTTGTACCCACGCAGTGGCCCTTTCTTCACAAGCCCCTTTGAGCTCCAGAACACCAGTAGGCCACATCATTTGCTTGGCAAAAGGCAGGTCTTTATCTGTTCAATTTCCCTCTTGCAGGGCCCTGTCTGAATACTTCTTCATATCACAGTGATCTGCTAGAGTTACGGGAATGCAGGACAGCTCTCCTGACATTTTTAAACCTTGACATCTGAGCTAGACATCTTGACTCTCCTTATAATCCCTAGGGAGAAAAAGGGAATCAGCATCTAGAATAGGGAAGATGAGTTATGTCCTAAAAGGGCTTAATTCTCCTCACTGACTGAAAGATGAGTAAGGAGCTTGGATGTCTAGGTCTACATTGTAGAAATCCCATCTTAAGTGAGCTGAATCGCATCCAGTGTCTTCCTATGTTCATGAGCTACATCATCTACTGCTACTTTAAATGAAAGCTGTAAGTCAAGGACAAACATAATTTCTGTAGCTGGCCACAGACATCAAGTTTCATAATCTCAGGCTTAAATAGAGTCTCTTTGAACTCTGTCTTGAAAAAGAAACTAACAAAATTATTAATATCTACCCATCATATATGCAACTCACACCTCTGGTAACAATTTAGCTACACATAAATATGGCAGGGATAAGGAAGCATTATTTCCTTCAACTTAAAGGTATAGTAAAGAAGCTCATCTAGAGGCAGACAGGAAGGTCTGTGTAAAGAAAGGACTAAACAAAAACCTCAGACAGTTTTTGGGTTACAGACCAGCATCCGTGTAACTAACACAGGCACCATACGTTGTGTGAAAGTATTTTCCCCTGACATGGCAACACAATTTCTATGAACAACATCAGCAAAGTCAACAAAAGCTCTCTTCTGCTGGGACTGTTTCATCCAAACAATGAGTCGTGCTGGTAAAGCTGTGCTTGACGAGTGATTTTTGTTTTTCTCCTGGTTGACATGGATTTGCAGACAAAAGATTAACCACAAGTTCCAGACAAGCATTTGAACAGCAGCAGCAGTTAAAAAATGTAAACATAACGTTAAAGAGTTAACAGACTCTTGAAACATTTCAGAATCATTGCAAATTAATTTTCAAATTAAAAAACAATTTCTTTTGTTTGATATCATAGTCCTCAGCCTCAATACTGACAGCTGAAGACCAGATGCCTTCAGAATCATGAGATGAGTGCTTTGCTCTTGGCCTTTTGACTACAGCTGCTGTAGGGACTGTGACTACAGGGAAAACTGCAGCTACCAGAAGCATAACATGACATATCCCTCCAGTTGCAGGATATATTATTCTATAATAATCAGTTTCTCCTTGTCACACAGACCCTCTTTAAAAAAAAGCCTTTTTCTTTTTCTCTTCAGAAATTAAAAACATGAAAGAGAAACAAGTTAGTCCATCCTCTCCTGGGGAATAACCCTACTCCCATTTATGTTAAGGAGATTGCAAATTGGAATGATTCAGCAGGGTGGATGCAAGGTCAGCAAAGCATGTTCCACAATGATCGGTGTTTATGCTAAGAAGAAAACAAGCTAGTTCCAACCTAGTTTCATTAAGTCTAAGTACAAAACAAGCTACCCAAGGAGATTTTTCACCCTCCTCATTCCAGGTAACCCTTCTTAAAAGCCTTCCCCTTGAGCACTTGTTAGAGGGAAAAGGAAGTGTGTGAAGAGTTCACCAAAAGCTTTCACAGCTACAGAATTAAGATCTTAATTTAAAATAAATTCACCAAAACCCTCAGTCACCCCAATGGCCAGTCAGACTCCAAGAACTATACTAGCTCAGACTCCTCCACACTTCTTACAATACCATTTACATACCACAATCTCATTTTCCTCAAGATTTTAATCTGAGGATTAAATGCTACAGTACTGGCCTAATGCTCCTTCAGTATTTTATGAATGCTTCTCACTCTGCAGGGAACCTATTTTCTCCTTTCCAAAAACCTCTGGCAGTTCTGCCGTCTCCAACTTTAGACACTGACCCAACCTGCTTGGTTTTAATCAACAGTCTTTACATCTGAGTGTCACACCCACATCACAATTTCTGTCACCAACTTTGTAATCACCCTAAATGTGACATGCCAAAAAAACAATCTTACTTTTTCTCATACTACCTATTCATCATGTTCTCCTACTCCAGTCTGTCTATAGTTATTTTGGACTCTACTCCCTCCTGGATCACACACTTTCTGTCTCCAAATTTGCCACATCACCCTCTGTATCTTCCAAATCCAGTATTCTTTTTTATTCCTGATAGCCACTAATATATGCATTCTCTCTCAGCAGCGCTTGTTACACCCTTAGCTTCACCACCATTTCAATCATGTCCCTTCCACCCACGCCCTGATTAAATCTTTTTCCAGTCCTGTCATTTTGAGTATATGACTTATCTCCTGGATCTCTCTACAAGCTCCTTCTCTTTCCATTTCATCAGGTTTGAGGAACTTTTTGTCCTACACACTCCACACCTCCTTACTTTGCTGACCTTCTTCTTCCTTCTTCCATGACACCCTCACTCACCTCACTCTGTAAGGAACACTTGGTTTCAACACTATTTTTCTCCCTGGCCCTTTAAATATCCTTTTATGATATCCCTCTTTTATAGGGCACTGTAACTACATGTTTAACCCTCCACCTTATCTTTGATCTTTTGGAATGGTCCACTGGATAACACTAAAATACAATTATTAATAATAAGGAATTTGCCAGCATTTAAGAACTGCCAAGCTAGTCACTTGAGAAAGGAGAGGTACAAAAATTAGGGACTGAAGCCAATGCACCCAATTGCTGTGAAAACAAACTAAAATGGACACACAGCCAAACCATGACTGTTTATTTTCCACAAGATTAACTAAAATGGCAGGGCTGCCAATTCTTGTTTTTTGCAATGACTATAACCTAAAAGAAAACCCACTTTCACAGAAAAAAAACCCCAACCAACAACATTAAGACAGAATGAAAAGCTTATACAGAGGAAAATACAGACTCTTAAGACAGTTACCCTGTCATCCATCATATAAAATAATTATAGCAAGTTCTCAAAAGCATCTGAAACACCTGAATTAGATAAGGGTTGAAAAACTGCCATGTTCGCCTCACTATCTCTGCAGCTGTATTTCATTACCTCCTTGCAAATTCCAGGCAATGCTTCGAAAAATATTTCACCAAAGATTAGCTTCCACTCAGTAATCCACAGTAAATGCACAGTCCAAGAAACTCAGAGTAAGGTTTGAGACTTCTGATCTTTTGTGAAAAGCTTTGGCTGTTATTTTCTGAATTAAGTCAAACAAAGCTTTACCTTCAGAACAAGACAAAGTCAAGCTATTTAACTAACACTCTTGCAACATAATCCCAAGATAGTGTAGAATGTATTGGTACTGCTAAAAGTACAAAAGTAAGTGTCAGCAGTGCACAAGGTGCTCCCCAGGCAAATCAAGGCAACCAGTCTCTGCTCCAAGGAGTTACAAAGTAAGACACACCAGTGTCCACTGTCAGTTGAGGCATGAGAAAGTAAATAAATGGTAACAGGGAGTAACAGAGAAAGCTGTTTGAGGTGTATTACTGTCTACAGATTATTCTAATGGTTCCAAATTTGTAATATCAAAATTTAGGGTTGAGAGGAACAAGGAGTTTCAACCTCAACAACCCCCCCAAGATTGAACACTTTTGAGATTCAGCTGGACAGGGTGCTGGGCCATCTTGTCTAAACAGTGCTTTTGTCAAGAAAGGTTGGACCAGATGATCTTTGAGAACACTTCCAATCTATATCTCACAGTACATCTTTTCCTTGCACCACAATCCTCCAGAGACCTAAGAATTAACACAAA